TGCAGCCAGACCTCAGAACAGGGCACTGATAAAAACCATAATTAAAGCACTCACACAACACTGAGTGGAAATTCTTAAACAGCAGAACTACCCAGATCGATGTCTTCAAGTCCAATTTTATCTCAATCTGACTAGCATTTGCATATCATGTTCTTCAACAAGACAGGCAAAAATAGGTCAAAGAAACCATCATGCATTTCTTTGGTGCAACACTGAATGTAATTTTGTATGCATTGAGTCATCTGCATCTTCCTCAGCCACTTCCAGCAGCAAGTAGTAGGGGCAGAAGGGAGAATAAAATATTTTCCCATTAGTCCCATTTGTTGCCATAGTCCTACTCACACAGGCTTTACCACAATAGTAACAGAGTAAAAACTGGTTACAGATAACAAAATGGAGAGAAAATCCAGCTTAAGCTCCCTTAGCAAGCCTCATGCAATAACCTGAATGTTAGCAAGCCTCACTTCCAGGCACCAAAACAGGAAAAAAAACTGTCCTTAAAAATCACTGCTAAATCCTGTCAGCCTTACAGACTAATTTAATAGTCAGTGTCACTGAAATCAGCAGAGTCACCAGTTTGGTATCAGCATTTATGAGCTGTTAGCAATACCTGTGTGGGATGCCCAGGAGGTACCTCCCAGCATCTTTCCCTCCCCAACCTCCCAGCAAGGGTGAAGCATCCTCTCCAGTCCACTTCCTGGCATTTTCCTGGCATTAAGTCAAGCTGTAAGAACACAGAGTTTATAATACCTTTGCTATTTAAACAAAATGGGCAGATATAACTGCCCTGTTCTTGTCTTGGAGCTGTACACACACAAACTCTGCTGGAATACAGCACATTTCTGAGATCATATGTGCATGATCTTTATTTAAAGTACAAAAAACCCTATTGCTTCACTTATGAGAATTCTCTAATCAGCTTTAAAAAAGAGAAAAATCAACACTTCTGAACTTCTGATGTTCCCATCCATGTTCACAGGCCAGCCTGTGCTGGAAATCTGGCTAGTCAAAACAATATTAAAACACAGTACTGTAAATCTGGTAGCAAACAGACAAATTAAGTAATTTATTAGCTTTAAGAAGTAAAGGTATAATCATAATATTTGTCAAGTATTTGGTCTGCACGCCTTTAGTTTAATTAGCCTGGTTATTTTAAAAAGTGAAAGTTCTATTTTATCACTATCAGAATCAGTCTGTATCCTTTAAAACCCCATTTAATCCCAATTATGACTAAACATCAAACACCCCACAAATACTAAAGCAAGAAAAGAATTTTAATGAGAAAACAGCCAAGAACATAAAGTAGTCCTACAGAATCCACTGAAATTTTTTGGGTTTGTTTTTGTTTAAAGGAAATGGTGCAAAATGTCCTTGCAATCCCAAGTTCCCAAGACTGTAACCCGAAGGCCCCATTAGATGCCATCCCTTAAAAGGCAAAAAGAGTGCAGCCATCCTTGTGAAAGAGAACATTAAAACAAGAGATGTGGCTGGGACATGCAGAGCTGTGGCTGCTGTGCTGGGGAATGCCTGGGGCTGCCGTGCTGGTCAGGCTGACTCTGAGGATGCAGGAGGAGCTCCACAAACAGCACAGAGCCCCAGATGCCATCGTGGAACTGCAGATCCTGGGAACTCTGAACTGGAGAGCAGCCTCAGCCTGGAAACACTGAGCAGCACAGAGAGTCTGCAGTGCTGCCTTCATCCCCAGCACCAGCCTGAACAGCAGGGACTGCACAGCTGGGACTGCACATCAGCCTGCACAGCTGGGGCTGCACAGCTGGGACTGCACAGCTGGGACTGCACATCAGCCTGCACAGCTGGGACTGCACAGCAGGGGCTGCACAGCAAGGACTGCACATCGGGCTGCACAGCAGCTTGCGACTGTGCAGCTGCACTGCTCCCCAGCAATTCAAAATGTTACTAATTACAGCAGCATCTCAACTTTAAATATCACTATGTCTAACAAAAGATTTAATCTACATTAGATAAAAAGTTTCTAAGCATTAAATGCAAGAATTAGTTTCTTTTAGAAGAGCACATGATCAAACAGCTAATTAATCTATTCACGATATTCAAGCAGCAGTATCAGTTTCTAGCATGAATTTCCTGAGACAGAAGTTACTACAGATTGTTAAAGACTTGGAGAACTTAAGCATTTAATAATATTCACAATCATGCTTGTTGCTTTCTTGCCACAAGCATTTCAGTTTAAAAATGTACAAAAGTACAGAAAATTCCTAATATGGAAATGGTTGTAGTCAATTCATAAAATAATTTGAAAAAAACTGCCAGACCTGTTTTGAGTAGCGCTGTACCACTGTCAGATTTACAGCATTTGAAAACACCCCGGGTTAGCTTCAGTGAAAGTCACAGCAGAAGCAGCACCTTGTGCAACTCAGACATGGCACACGAGTGTTCCTACTCATTGGCACTGCTGGGCTTCCAGGCTCTTCTGAATGAAGCAAAGAATCCCAACCAGGTCAGCTCACTCCCAGCCTGAACACTTTGGGAACGTACATGTGAGCTAAAGAAAATTTAAAGACATGCAAGCATCACCACCTGCATATCAAGTCACATATTAACAGAGGTTTAACTGGATGCTGGAACACTTGTCTGGGTAAAAATGCATCATATTCTTCCATAATCTAAGGCATTACACACCAGAGCCTTAATCACAGTTCATTAAACACCACAGTCAGGAATCTGATACTTGTGAGTTATAGTTCCCATAGTTTCACTATAGTTACAGTTAATTTGCACACAGTGAGATTAAAACACCAGAGGATCTCTGCTCACCTGAAGCCCCACTGTGGGCTGGGAGTGGCCCTCTCACGCTGGGTGAGAGCTACACCAGCTCTAGAACCTCTCTGCCCATTGTCAGCAATATTTCTGACCCATCTTTTCTCTACTCATGGTTGGATGTTCTTACACCTATTCTACATCAGTTTGGTCTTATCCAGCTTTGCCTCCCTCCTCCCATATTCTGGAGTTGATGGTACAAGATCCAGGGAAACCTAAACATTACTTCCATATTTTTGGAAGCAACTACACAAATCATCTGAGAATTAAGTGACTTTAATTTTTTTTTACATAAGAATGTATTTTTAATTGCAGCTCTAATAAGTGGTGATTTTAACACTACAGAACAGCAGCTGACCATTGTTAAGATGATGCCTTGGAGTACAGAAGCTACAGATGGTTAAGAGAATAAAAGTAGGTATTTATTAAAGGTCTTCAACACATAAATCTTGGACAGTCAAAAGCCTCACAGAGGTTATACCCAAGACTGACAATGGTCACGAGATTTTCAGATATAAGTTTTCCCCATTTACATATCAAGAGTTAATCCTCCAATTACAGCTTCAGGTAATTAAGTCATATTCCCTAGTTTGCTTCCCCACAACTCACTTTTGTTTGTACTTTCTGGGGCCTGAGGCTTTAGGGTATCCTTGAATTTCAGGCCTAAATGGATTGCTTTGTCTGACCAAAATGTGAAGAGAATTAACTAACACTCTATATGGAGTTTATACACCAATGCAGTACAGGATTTGAAAAATATAAAAGCTAAAATCCTAAGGCATCAAAATGTCTCTTCATTGTGCATTTAGTTTTCTTTGTATGCAAAATTTCAGTATGAAATTATTTGCTGAGGTGCTGAAGTAAGAGAGGTTTTGATGAAATGCAATTTTGAGCACAGGACGATGATGGCTACTGAAAAGTGGGCAAGTTGATTTCACAAAACAATGCACTAACTCTCACCAGAAATAACAGATTCCTCCAACACTGATTATGTTACAAGAAAAATACAAGCTCTTAAATTTCTAGTCCTTGTCTTCTTATCTCAAGATAATAATTAAATCACTAGGGAGCTTCAGCAACAAAAGGCATTACAAGAAACATTACAAGAAATAAGGGCAGCTTTCCAGTTATTAATACCATGAGAACTACATTAGTGTAGTGCATCTATTACTATTGCACTGGTTCATAATGGAAGGAAAAAAAATACAACATATTTGGTACAGACACTGTAGGAATTTCTTTTGAAATCAGAATTTTAAAACTATCCACCATCTTAAGAGGGAAATTATTACCAGGAATTTGGAGTTTACTGGCAGGAGGATATGATCCTATGGCCAGATGGTAATTAAGAGACACCATGAAAGAAACCAAAAGCTATTCACCTTTCTGTGGGAAGACAGCCACAATCATTTCTTTAGTTGTTCACAGAAACAATAAAAAGCAAACCTAAACAGAGTTGTCTTATTCTTTCACAGTAAATGTTAGGATAAAAATATCAGCACTCAGCAATGAAGATCTACTACCTTTAAAGAGAAATCTTTTTGAAGAAAAATCAAGAGTTTCAGAGGCGCTGAAGAGACACCTGAAGAGGATTTCTAAGCATATTTATGAATTACAAATTTGATCCACTCAATATGATATAACAGCCTTTTTCTAAGACCAAATACCAGAGATCACCAGTACCCACTGTCATACGCAACATCTTTTGAACAAGCAGCTACAAATGCCACCAAAAACCAAAGCTCAGCACATGACACAGAAAAATCCCAATGATTTCTTACAGTTACACACATTCACTGTTTGGAGAGCATAAGAGAATAAAAAGGTGGGCAATGCAGCTCATCACAGAGTGACTATAAACTGCCAGTGTGATCCTGGGATGGAAGAGAAGCGACAGAGCGCTGAGGGGCAGCCCAAAGGCCAGCAGGGCTCAGGCTGTGGCTGCTGAGAGCTCGGCCCCTCGGCACACGGAGGGCAGCCACAGCCCCAGAGCAGAGCCCCTTGCCCAGCAGGGTCCAAACCTTCCTGTCCTGCTGAGGGCAGCAGGAGCAGAGCTGGCTGAGGACAGGAGGCTCAGGAGAAATTACAGCAAGTGGCAGCATTAACTAACACAGGAACAAAGAGCTATAAATTTCTTGAACTAAATCCACCATGAAAGGAGGAAGGTTTCTGTGCCTCCCAAGTGCAGAATAAATGAACTAAACCTTAAGGTGAACCCATCAGCTGTGAATAAAACAGGCAGGTACAGGGCTGCCAGGGATGCCAGCTGCCCTCTGAGGCTCAGGTGTGTCCCTGCAGTGCTCTGCTTCCCACCAGGACTGATGGCCTGACTGCTGTGACCTCGCTCAGAATGTCACCCCTGCCCTCTATTAACTCTCTGGAACTGAATTAACACCCCACTGACACAAACCAAACTTCACAATGACCAATGCAAAAGCAATCTCCCTTTACTCACAGGTAATTTCCCTGACTTACAGACGGCAGCAGCCACCTCCAGCCACCCATTCCCAGACAGGAATCACACCCAGAGCACTGCAGGGGAAAAGGAGCAGGCAGGTCAGACAGGCACTCAGATGTGACACATCACACACAGGTGAGAGGTTGGAGGCTCCATCTAATCCTCCCCTGCAGCTGACATGCTGAGCTCAAGACACAAGACAGCAGCAATATAAATATGAGATTACTGGACACCTCAGAATAGCTTTCAACCAGATTCTAATAGTCAGCAATTAGCTTATTGCTTAGAACATAAATGTTATTACTCTAATTTTCTAATATAATTAACAATGAGAATTGCCAGTAGTCTTACCACCCATGCAGGCATGCATTCCTGGCTTTAGAATTTTGTTTTCTTCATTGCACCAGAACCTGACAGCCAAGAGTTTTACTGTAGTCCTGGCCTTAGCAACCCATTTCTGAATCTGGAAATGTATAATGACAGTAAGCCACAAAACAACTTCTTTTCAGTGTTCAGCTACTCTCTACCAACGAAGATGGAACTTTTCATTCCGAAAGCTGTGAACATCTGAAGTGCTATTCCCATCAGATTTCATTTAGCTCAAACTGCTGCCTCCCCTGGCAATATCAAATGCTATAGACAAGATGAGAGCAAGCACAGATACTTCCCGGTGCACTCATCAGCATCTTGCAGCTCACAGACCTCCCAAGCAGAAGTATTATCTTCTTTAAAAGGAATCTCTGATGGATTTTTGCAGGATTTGGAACAAACACATAACGAGAAGAAAGTCTAGGGCTGTCTGAGCCACAGAAGCCATCAGCAACCACCACAAATGCCATCCATCCTCTCTCAGCCAGCACATGCTTAGGGGTTTCTGCCTCTTGCTGCTTCCAGCAGAAGGCTGCTCTGAGATCCCACTGCTCCAGGTAAACCACTCAGAACTGCTGCCAATGGCACAGGAACTGACCAGGCACAATTCTTCACACCCACTGGCCCAGCTGTTCAAAGCTAATTTAAATCAAGTGCCTGTGCAAACCTGGCAGGATTCCTGTGAGAACCAAGAGGGTTCCCAACAGGATCCTGCCAGGTTTTCCTTTACTTAAAGCCTACAAACAGCCACCCTGGAGCTACAGTCCCAGAAAAACTGAGCAGCAGACAAAGGGCAGCCACGACTGGCCATGGAATTTCAGTAGGAAATATGTCTATGCTCAGCTTTAATGACAGTAAGATCCTTGGGGGTGCAGAACCACAATAATCAAGAAAAAATAATAATGCATTTTGAAAAGCTGAAAACTAAAATGAAGAGGGAAAAACCCCCCCAGATATTCTCATCTAAAATGAAACTATTTCCAGCAGAGAGGTGGTACCTGCAAACCAGCTCATCTCCTCTGCATCACAGAATGAGCCCCTCCTGACTCCTCACACAGTAAACACCTTTCTTCAGCAAGCACACTCAGGAAAAGGAGATACAGTCCTTAGGAAATTCAAGGGAATTGGGAGAAAGTACTGAAATAAAACAAATCATTTGAAGACATCCATAGCAAAGTTTTCCAGTGATACCCACTTCATTATTGTACAGCAGTCTCCCTGGGAAGTATTAAAGCCCTCAAAAGCATGAGAAACAAATTCATGCCAGAAAGTAATGAGAATAAACTCTAAAGAACATTCCTGCTCTGCTCTCCAAGGACAGCCACCTCTCTCCCACACCTTCCATGAGAAAAGGTACTGCTCCTTTTCAATGCCCAAAGGCCAACAGAGACAACCTCCACAATGGAAAATCATTTCTTTGGTCAGTACAGAAGTGCCCTGGCTTCTCCCTGACTTCCCTTGAGAGTTCAAAGTCTCATTAGAACGAAACCAAAAAGCACAAATGAAATATGAAAGCCCCAAGCTACTTTAAGTCCTCCCCCCTTCTATTTCCCTTTGTGCCCCCTTCATGTGCCACTTCCTTCTGGGGACACCCTCAGGTGTCTCAGCCACCCCAGGAGCCCTGCACATGACACGTTCCTGACATGGTCCAACACTCCCCATGGTCCAACACTTCCTCCAGCTGCTGCTGTAAAGAGGCTACAGCTGCATTCCCAGTACAGCAGATGTTCCTCACACATCCCAACAAACACACACAACTATTTCAACAGAACACTGAGATACAGGCAAAAGACTCCTTTCTGGAAAGCTCACCTACCTGGCAACAACATTGTCAAAACTGGGGAAATCAGTTCAAGGCTAAGCTGTTCCACATGGGCCCTTTACTCCCTCACTGCTATTACTGACCACTGGCAGGCAGATCCAAGGACTAGGAACTCTTCAGCCTGACCATAAAGAGGAGCTGTAAGCACCACATTGTACAGTTTTCCAGTCTGTAACCAAATCCAAACTTGGTAAAAACCAAAACAAGGCTCAGAAATAAGCTGCACAATACTATACATGAAATATCATCATAAGCCATTATGTTGGTATCCCTTCAAAGGACACTTTGGGGCATACTCTCTTGAAATATGAATGAGTTAAAACTATTGTCCCCTCTAGCAGCACTTGCATTACTCCATATGCCTACAATGCCATGACAACTTTCCTCTTGTAATAACCCCTTTATTTGAATCCATATAGACAAATCTACAACAAAATAACAGAGCCTTACCCCTATTTTAAGCAACCTGGGGAATTTCTCATGCCCTGCTCCTTCTGCTTTTGACAGTCAGAACTGGGCATTTGGAAGCAGGGCCATCCAAGCCACAGAGAGCAGCAGTTTTCCTTCACACAGCACCACGGGGCAGTTTGTGGGAAGCCTTTCAACCAAAGATTACAACAAGCAGCAGCAGTGTTTGCCTCGAGCTGATATTTTGCCTGCCAATCACGAATGTATTTTAAGACAAATCCTAATGCTAAATGAAGCATATGCATTGTAATCTTTCCTGTAACATTCTTTTTTACTGTAATACATTTAGAGACTTTTATCTTAACCAGTACTTGTTTTTTTTCCTTTTTGTAATGTTTTTTTGTGTGCCAGGAGTTCCTTCTTGTTTTTAACAGAGTTCTACACCACAGACTTTGTTACATGTTGGTTCCTTCAGTATTTTTGTAAAGGCATTATTGAATATTGTAATTGAAATAATTATACTTGGCAAATAAGCAACCTAAGTACACAGTGGAATGTGCTCTCTCTTTTCCAACACTGCTCAGTTTTCCATTAGTTTGCAAATGTCAGTGGTCTGCTCTTCCATTACCGTGACTGAGGAGTTTTTTTGAGTCCAACTAAACAGGCTGAGCTGATGCACAGCCTTCCACCCTATACTACCTAATTTAATTTCTTCTCAACTACTGTTCCTCTGCATTCATACACTCCTGGAAACCACACGCAATAGTTCAGATCATTTTTATGAAAAGGGCACAAAGCATAGCTCAGTTCCTCTGAAGACACTGCTCTGCAAGTATAAATCTGCCCAACCATGAGCAGCAGTGTCTTTGTCCAGAGACAAGGAAACCTCTCAAATTCCAGCAGAGTGTGATTTTCCCCATCTTTCTTTACATGACTTAAAAACTTATGAGGTGTACTCTATATATCTTTGGGATTTGTTCCAAGCAAGTCAGATTTAATAATAAAGGATTCAGTTACGATCAGTAATTAGTCATTTTAATGACAGGTTTTTAACAAGACTTGCCACAGTTATTAGTGTACTGCAGAAAGGATCTGCAGTAGGAACTGAAACAAAAATCCCGAGGGCAGATTATTTCAGTGTATCAGGCAGCACCACCCCGGGATTTCCACCACATGGACAGTTTTTAACAACTCGAAGACAGGTAGATGTTGCACAGCGATGACAGATCCTTTGGCTCCAGTCCTGAACACACAGCACACACACACACTGCTGGTCCCTGTTGTTTTACTGGGCTAACAAGCTCACTGCTACCACTTGCAGAGAACAGATCCTACCCTGCGCTGAGGAAATGAGAAGAAAACAAATCACACTTCTAAACCCTGGATTTTACTGGGCATTCATAAAAAATGAATTCATCACCAGAGTCCTCTATAAACTTGTGTGCACCTGAAGCCAAGAAACTTCCAGTGAGTTTTTCACAAAACCTCTATGTACAAATTTTGCCCTGTACTAACCAGCAGTGATTTAAAATGCTGAAGTTGTATATACAAAATATTAAAATGTTTCTGGCATCACACTTCTCAAAGAACTTGTTTAAGTTACAAGAATTTGCAGTACCCTGTAAGAAATTACTTAAAAATCTATTTCAAGATGATTGACATTTTCATAAACATCTCTTTTCCTAATATCTTGAAAAACACATTTGTGATTTGAAAAATATAAATGTCATAGTGACTTGGAAAGTAGATCAGACGAAGGCAAACATCACCACAGAAACTGCTGAAGTGCTTTGGTGTTTATTATGTGTTTCACTGCTGGGGTGGTCCAAGCCTTGCACAGGCTCCGTCAAACTGAAGCAGCTGAGGTGTCCAAAGTACACGAAAGAACCCAGCTCACGTTTAATTTCACAACACAAAACCTCACGTTTGGTGTTCGGGGGATTTTTAAGGTTTTTTTTCTTTTTACTCGGTGCATTTAAGAGAACTTCATCCCGCTAAGGGCAAGCAGGCGAGCGAGGGCTCTGCGTGCTCCGGGCGGACCCCGGGCCCCCCGCGCTCCTCACCGGGCACCGGGCGGGTCCCCAGGGGAACGGCGGAGCCTCAGCCGGGCACGGCCGGGAGGCGGCCCCGGCCCCGCGACTCCCCTGCACGGGGGCAGACCGTGTGGTTCCTCTACCGAGCAGNCCGCTCGGGTTTCTGCATCTGCTGCTGGTGCCGAGCAGCGCTCACAGCCCGGCCCGGCCCGGCCCTCGCGGGGCCGGCTCAGAGCACGCTCCGGGCTGCGGGAACCGGCCCGGGCTCACGGCCGAGCCCCTGCCCTGGCGGTGCCCACCAGCGGCTCTGGCAGCGGAATCCTCCGCGCCGCTCTCCCACGAGTGTTGTGTTTCCAGTGACATTGCAAGGTAGCCTTGACTGGCTCTGAATCAGGTTTTGGGGGTACTTTTCCTTTTGCTGTGTCACGACAAATAAGGATAAATTGCAACATAGCCTGGCAAATCCAGACGAGTGAAATGCAGCTAAGTCATTTTTTTGAACACAGCCGGACCGCTGTGTACCACGGTGAAGTTCAAATGTTGTGTCCTGTGATGTGCCATGGTTACCAGCCAGGCTCTGATAGACCCGTGCTCCTCTTGTCACTGACAGTCTACGCTGACACCTGTTCCACATTACAGGACTTTAACACATTAACAGTTCTAGCATCTTCCTCTGGCCTCCAAGAGTCTGACTGCTTTTCCTTCTTCTGTTTTCCATGAACACTGTGGATTATGCACCTAGGGATTTCCTTTCCAGTTACCTGTGTGCTCTACTTCATGTCTCCCAGTTCCCTTGAAACTCCTCTGATCCTTCTTTTCATAGGTTCTTCCCTGTACATGCTATTTCTAATTTCAATATATTTTTCTTCTTTTGTTTAGCCTCTGAATAAACATCCCCAAAGAAGGAGGAGCAAGGAGAGAGCCCCGGAGAGAGAACCAGGGAAAGAATCAGGGGTTTGTTTGGCTATTAACAGTCATGGCTTGGTTAACTGCAGCCACAGCTGCTCTGCTACACCCTGGGCCTGGGAGGGGCCAATGCGCTCAAGCAAGGTCGAGTGTTGGGAGAAGTGTAGAAGAAAGTCATTAACCTTTGGTGAAGGATGAGCAGGGAAAGAAAAAAAGAAGACATAAGCAAAGCATGGAGAAGGAGGGTAACTCTTGCTTGGGTCACATTAACCCGGCCTAACAATATGAAATCATGTCATTGTAAGGGGAAATTCCTGCTATGGGACAGAGCTGGACTAATGGGTGTTTACAGTCTCTTGTTTCAGTTCTTGTCTAACTGGGGAAATCACAACTCTCACAAAGCTCTTTTTCTTGCAGGAACTATCACAAGTATGTGGCTGCCACTTAGGAGAGCATCTCTGAATTGTAATTAAGGCTCCATGGCTGTTTCAGGAAAACAGGTTATGCATATTTACCCACAGAGACATTTAGCCTTTATTTTGAAGGACTGAAGGACTCAGGATAGAAAATATCCTGAGCAAAACAAGGAAAACATTTCTGAAACATCCAGTGAGTATTATTTTGTTCAATCTTTTGCAATTCTAACCAAAACACATCTGTGTGTTGAAAGAGAATCAAAAGGTGGTGCTGAAGAAGGATGAAGGGGGAAGATGGCTGAGTGGTTTAGGAAAAGGTGACGTGGTAGGAGATCTTTATTCTGGCTGTTTGCTTAGTGCCTCCTGCACAACCTTGTGCAAACTTCTTAATAACTTCCTTCTCCCATGGGCTGGAGGACATGAAGTGTAAATGTATTTAAATCATGAGAGCAGTTTGGGGGTGCTGGGAGGTGAGGACACACTGAACCCCTCTAGTTTTGAGCAGACAATTCCTGGGGTGGGGAGAGCAAGCAAGCTCCAGCTGGGTGTTCTTGGGGCAAAAGGAGGGCTGGTCCCAGCATGTGCTGAGTGTCCCAGCTCCCAGAGCAGCTCCCAGGGCAGCTCCCAAATGTCCCAGCTCCCAGGGCAGCTCCCAGGGCAGCTCCCGAGTGTCTCAGCTCCCAGGGCAGCTCCCAAATGTCCCAGCTCCCAGGGCACAGCCCTGCCAGGAGGGCCCACGCCGAGCCCAGGCTGTGCTGGGGATCCCTGGTGTGCTCCTGGACGGGTGGGTGGGCTGGACTGACTTGGCAAGGCCTGCTGAGGCTGCTGCCAACATTTAACAAAGGAATCCTTTACACACATTCTTGCCTGATACGGCACCTTTTCAGCTCTGCAGCACGGGAAGGGAAAAAATGTCTACGTTTAATATGTAAATAAAAGTACTGATCCAGGAAAAAGGTCACTGCATTCATCCTGGGCAGATCAGATCGCTCTCAGATAACTTTGGCTTTACAAGTTTCCAGCACAGCCTGCCATTCCATTGTGTGCCTGCTCATGGAGACCGGGAAAGTGGGGAACTGGGTCAATGACCAGCACACGAGACACCAGCATAGTATCGACCTAATCAGATCAGGGAATTCATCACTGAGTTCTTCACATCCAGCTAAAATGCAACTGAAGAGTGAACACAAGGAAGAAACAGTTCAGAGGAAAAAAAACAAGTATGCTGTTCACAGACACTGTAATTAAATGATCTGTTTGTTACAGAACAGTTAGGTCAGCTTTGACAGAATTAAAAACTCCCCATCAGAATCTCCAGGACACTGGTCATAAATTAAAACCAGCTGGTGAATTAGGTGTAAAAAACATTTGAAAGAGAACCTTAAATATTCTCAGTGAACAAACTGAACAGAGACCCTCATCTTTCAACCTTCATCTCAGCTATTCCTACAACCTCTTGTAAACTTGTGAACCAATTGTGGGTTCTTTTCATTAAGCACATTTAAGTGTTATTTCCAAGATTAAAGCCTGTGATTCTTTTCCAGCAGAATAGAAATACCAACTTAAAACCAGATTTTTAAAGTGTATTTATGTAGTTTCAACACACTTAAAAGTATTTTAATGCTTAAATATAAAATTTTGTAGATCTGGATGGTGCTTATTAAGAATGGTGCTTTAATGCAGTTAAGAGTGTAAAAAGCATTAGAATCCTACCAGGAAGGTTACATCTGTGCAAATACCTGAAAAGAGCTGAGAGGTTCTTTAAGAAAAGGCCCCGGTATTTCCACATGACCTACCAAAGGGAAGGAGCACTGGTATGCTGCCAAATTCCAGGAGAGCTGAGCAGTGATTAGAGTTTAACTTTGGCATCAGACAGGAGGCTTTTTTACCCTTGAAATTCTCAATCTAAAAAGTACTGAAGCTTTTTCTCAGCTTTTCAGTTGGGGGAAAAGGAAAAAAACCAAGCCCCACCCTCAAAAGCTAATAAAGAACTTGTTTTAGGAAAACATCTGGTAGCTTTGAGTGCCTTAGTGCAAGGAATTGTGCATTTTCCCAGTGTGGGAGTGTGATGTGCACACTGGTTCTGAAGCCATGAGCAGCATGGGAGGTGGGCAAACCATTTTGCTGAGTCACAAGTAGGAATTAATACAAGAAGAAGAAACTGCAAGTTCTGACACAGCCTTTAAACAGAAGGAAAATTGTCTGGGATGGTGGGGACTCGTGAGGTCAGTTCTCTGCAATGCTGCTGAACAGTGTGACAGTTCCATGTCACCATCCAGCCACAGCTGGGCACTGCAGCCTCCCAGTGTGACACCACCAAAAGGCACCTCAGGAGCAGTGAGGAGACCTGGATTCTGCAGCAGGAGTCAAAAACCAGTCCTACCAACCGAGGAAAGGGGTCAAAGCACAGCCCTGCCAGCTGAGGAAAGGGGTCAAAGCACAGTCCCACCAACCGAGGAAAGGGGTCAAAGCACAACCCCTTGTTGTTCAACAAGTTCAGGGTGAAGCAGAGATGAGAACAGAAAGAAACTGAGGTGAAGGGCAGCCTTGAAGAGCTTCTTGCAAGTTCCAGTGGCTGAAAGCACCGTGCCTGCTTGGCTGGGGTCTCTTGGGCACACACCACAGCACAGTGAGGGACTCCTGGGCTTTCCATCTTGTTAAAAAAGTGCAGCTTCAGTGGCCAGAAGTGGTAGAGTCCTACTCCTCTCCAGACTTTCATCACCTCCACCTGAATTCCAGCCCTGAGGCCTTGGAAAACAAACAGAGCAGCCCTGGAGCCCCCCTAGGCCTGAGCCACTGGTGACAGTCCCCAGTCCCTGGGGTGCCACCAGCTGTCACAGCTGGGACTAGAGGCAGCAGCAGCTGAAGTCCCCACAGGACCCTGCCAAGGAGCTGTACAGGATTAAGGGGACAGGTAAAAGTGTCAGTTCTGGAACTTCACCATCACCATCAGGAAATAGTGTTTCCCTTTCAACAAACAAACAAACAAATCCTCCTCCCCCACCAAAACCAAGAAAGGCAATGCTGCCAAACAAATCAGTCAGACCCTTACCTTGCAGACATGAACATGACTTCATGTGCTTTTAACAATCAGCCATTCACAGAACCATTTTATTATTTTTTTTTACTCCAGGATTAGGGACTGACATCTCATTCTTTATCACCAACTGGTCCAGTTTGGTGGTGAAGAAGTCACTGGCTCCTTTCACCTCCAAAACTTTCTAAAGGGCATCTGCAATCTGCAAGTGCCAGAGAGGGGTTACCTTGCAGCCACAGCTGGGCTGAAGGGCAGCAGACATTCTACAGAGCACAAGGTGAAATGAATTTCTATAAAAAAGTGAAGCAAAACACCAGATTCTTAAGAAAAGTGCCAACAGACCTTTAATGTGCTGGGAACTAGCCAAGACTGTGAGTTACATTTCTTTTGAAAGAATCCTGTATAATGAAGCAGACTGAAAAAATATGCAGAGACTGACAGCAGTGTTTATTTTATTCATGACACTACATTTATCCAGGGAACAGAGGGGAAAAAAAAGCCATGGACTGAGAAAAAATGTGGTTGTCTTCCAATAACACCATAAAGGCATACAGACCTAGAGCAGAAGGCCAGAAAACTCTTGTTCCATCTGCTTGGACATGGGGATGCTGCCCCTGCAACATCCAATAGGTTTTATAGCAAGTGATGGAGCATGCAGGGTACAGCAGACCTTGAAGGGAAAGAGCTGGGGTTTCTTTTTTCAGGAGGTGGGAAGCTGAAGGGGAGGATGAAAAAATTGTATAGGCCATGTTTTATAAGCAAAGTTTTAAAGGTCCCTTAGCAGGCTTAAAAAAAAGATGAAGTACACTCACTACATTCTTTCTTTCCACGGACAGCATGGGCCAGCGAAAACAACTGACCTCAACTGTTTGAATCCTGTGTGTGTTGTTATGCAACAACCCAGCCAGTCCCCTGCACTTCTCCTGGGGAACTGCACATGGCAGAGAAGTTCATTCTTTAATTACCCTCCTGAATTTGTTTTACTTACAGCTAACCTGCAGCTGATTGGTAACATCAGCAACCATAATAGCAGTTCAAAGAATATTCCCTTTTGCAACAGCACCTAATTTCTTTGTAAAATAGAACTCTGGATTTGCTCATTTGGCTCGTTCCCTCACAGAGTATTTCTCTGGTTATATGGGTCTTCTATATGCAAGGGAAAGTTTTTGCTTTTTTGGGTTTTTTCAACAGGAAAAATAATTTCAAGTCTTCCATCACTGGCTATAAACCCAAGGCAGGCATATGGCCCCAGTTCTCCAAGCCTTACACAGAGGAACTAATAAATGCTGATTCCTTGCAGGCTTGTCTTCTCTTCCCACCCTCACCCTTCCCAGCGAGGCCACTGCCCCAGCCCCTCCCCAGGGTCCCCTTGCACAGGCAGCAGCTTAGCTCCTATTTCTGTCCTCCAACTACTGCTCGAGCAAAGGAAGCCAGCACTGCGCCAGGTTCTGTGTGTGCAGACCACAGATCTTTGTTTGGCCTGGCTCGCCTAGGAACCAGCCAAACTTCCTTGGCAATCCCTGCCTAAAGCAGAGGAAATCTTTGGATTTATCGTCTCCACCAAGCCCTTAATTTTCGTGCAACTGGGATTAAGTCAGCTGTCTGCGAGATCTTTCTTGTCACTGAAGCTGGCCAAAAGATTTAAGTTATTTTTGAGGAGGGGGTAGAACAGGACAGAGCACAAATGCAAAAGCAGTGGAAATCATACTAAAAATATTTCAAATATGACAGCATTCTCTTAATAGTTGTGTTGTATTTCTGTTCAGCTGAAAGGTGACTTGGGAGAGATTTTGACAGGCTTTTACTGTTTTAAGTATTTCAGATCCTGCCAGTTTCTCTGGCAGTTTCTTGGCATTGCAAGATACTGGTCAAAACATCCTGATTCAGCCAGTAAGCTCAGCTAATTATAGTCACTGACAATCCAGTGTTGTCCTGGGGCATGTGTGCTCTTCCCAGGAAAACAAAACTGGCAATAGCAATTCAGGTTCACAGCCTAAACAAATTCCAGTATTAATTCAGTAGCCCCCATCTCTTGCACAGATCAAAGGCTGATGTTCCATT